CAGGATCAGCATCATCCCAGTGAGGAACTGGGAACTGCTGAAGAGCCTGCCCTCAGCTGGCACAGAGATGTCTTCTGGGCTCGACTTCTGCGTGCTTGTGCTAAAATTACAATTCTGTGTATATTTGTGCCTTTTATTTTGGTATGTCCTTTGGGGTAACTCGTTATTTTTAAAGCACACTTGGCCACCTTACAACTGGTTGGCTATTTCTGTGGGGAGACCAGCAGTGCTTTGCTGTGGGGAACAGACTGGCTGCGAGACACTTCCCAGAAAAGGATCATCCCAAACTTACAGCAGTTGCTATTTTTTTTTCCTTGCCTTTAAAAGTACATCTACAAGATTAAAAATTTTGCACCACTGAAATTGAGATTATAGTTGTCATCTTTTATGAATTTCAAAATGTTAATGAAAAGAAGATTTCAAATGGAGCAGATATTAATTTTCAGATAGAGAGYGCAGATTTTTAGGCAGAGACTTGTGGTTGTTTTTGCATTCGTCATTTCTCAGGGCAGAGACTGAGTAGAAGTCCATAGAAGGCTCAGTGCAATCATAAGTCAGGGCCTTCATTGGTACAGTGAGGCCAGAACGAGGATTTTTGGGGATTTTTATGCAACAGTGGAGTGTAGAGAACATGCAGGTCACTAAAATGGGCTTCAGGTATTTTGCACAGCACAGCTGAGGCTGCTCACGACAGGAGAGCTCTCCAGAGCCTTGGCTGTTTCCCAGCCTGGCCAGAGATCTCTGTCCTGGTCCTGTGGGGAGGAGGTGGATGGTTCACCCTGCGTCATCATCACTCCTTAGCATTGCTCAAGAGTTTATCAAAACCCTTCAGGAAATGGAGATGCTTATAATTGCATTGGTTTTCATGATAAATCTTTCTACATTTACACACAAAAAAGGGAGATCTTGCAAGTTACACACTTGCAAATTACACAACATTAAAAAATGTTAATGTTGTTAAACAGATCTTTCAACCAGCACTTCATGCAGTGCTGCTTTGTGGGTTTGGCTGGGTAGGGGTGGCACTTCAGAGCTCAGCTCTCTTTATGCCAGGGATGAAGTGTGAGCAGTTTACTCTCATTTGTATTTTTGTAAGCCTGATAAAAATTTCTCTGTGAAAATTAAGTTATTTGGTTTCAAGATAGACGACTTCTTTGTGAATTTTGGTAGTGAGAAAAGTGGCTTTAATGTTCACCAGTGCCTGAAGGTCGGATCTCAGCTGGGCACAGTCGGGTGCTGTGGTGTCCCTGTCGTGCTCTGGCACGTGCCTGTTTGTGACATCTTTAAATACTGTAGGAATGAATGGAAGTCTGAACGGCCTTTGTAACAGCAGTAACAATAATGGTCACAAATATGAATTAATTTTTCACKTCATTTACTTAAGTTTCGTCTTTATGCCCAAAGCAAAGGTATCTCCTTCTGGCAGATTGCTGTGGACAGGAGCCAGTCCTGTACGAGGGCTGGAGCGAGGAGTGAAGAAGCCGCAGCGATGTTCCACAGTCCGGACTCGTGTGCGGCTTTTGGCAGGAGCGGTGTGTGCTCTGCACGGGTGACAGCGATCCTGCGGGGCAGCTCCGGCACGGCGGGACCTGAGCTCCGGCACGGCGGGGACACGGGCTCCGGCACGGCGGGGACACGGGATCCGGCACGGCGGGGACACGGGCTCCGGCACGGCGGGGACACGGGCTCCGGCACGGCGGGGACACGGGATCCGGCACAGCGGGGACACGGGA